TGGCAAGCACAAGGTCCTGAGTTCGAGTCCCAATACCAAAAAAAAAAAAAAAAATGCTAAGGTACAAAGACATAAAATTCTAAAGACAATACATTTTCAAATAAAAGAAAACATCATTGTTTTTAAAATAATGAGTCAAAAGTAAAAATGCTGGCTCACAAAGTTACACACAGACAGACAGGGCTACAGGTAAAAAACCAGAAGAGGCCAGAGGAAGTTAGTGCTTTGAGGACTGAGAGTACAAAGATGACACATGGAAAACTAAGAATGCAGTGTAGTAAGTTTATACAGATCTGTATTCATTATTTAACTGAATTGCATAAATTCCTTCAACTATACAAGTACTCCTAACATCTAAAATAGGATCTGGGGGCTGAAGATTTAGCTCAGTGGCACAGCGCCTGCTTGGCAAGCTTGAGGTCGTGAGTTCCATTCAGGCTGGCCTCGAACTTGCAATGATCCTCCTGCCTCAGCATCCTGAATGCTGGGATTACAGGCATGCGCCACCACACCCGGCCTCCTGTTTGCTTTTATATGAACATTTAACATCTGTTACAGAAAAAATACTGTATTTGAAAAATGGAAAAGTTTGGTCTTACTAATATGTTTTTGCATACTGTCTTCAATCTTTTGTCTTTGGGGTTTTTTTGTTTGTTTGTTTTTTCATCTATGCCTGAATTGCACAGCAAGACCCTGTCTCAAAAAGACAAAAAAAAAAAAAAAAAAAAGCGAACAGGAAACCATGAGACTCTGTGCTTGTGACAACAGCAGTTGTGGCCGGGGCTCTGAATGGAAACCAGCTGAACTGGAGTCCTGACACTGCTACTCAGTCACTGTGACCTTACAAACAGACTAGCACCTGTGTGCCTCAGCATCTACATCTGTAAAATGGGAATAGTAGCACTGTCCACCTCACAGGGTTGCCCTGTGGGTTGGTTATGTTAGTTAACATGCCCTCATATGTAAAGTGTAGCACAGAATAAGCATTGTACAAATGTTATTTCTACTTTAGTTATAATCCTTTTATACCCACATTATTCCTTTTCAACCTAGCAGCGCTGTACATTGTTAGTCAAGTCATAATTCTTAGAGTTAAAGACAGCGATGGTCTATGACTCAAAAACAAAACAGTATCAAATGCACAGTGGAGCAAGTACACTGCTAGTATTCTGCACATACCAATGACCAGCAAGGATCTTGGTATTTTAAAATAATTTAAATGAACCTTGAACCTAACTTGGCCAAATTTTTAACTAGGTTAAAAAAAAAAAATAGTGTAATTTTGGTATTTCAGTTATTGCAAAAAAATCTTTCAAAGCATAATAATCAAACTGAAGAACATGTAACAACCTTTTATAGACGAAGTTATGTGGTTGAAAATATTATAATAGCAATCTCTCATTTCAAACAAGTTCATTCTTTTCCCCCATGATCCTGTTGTTTTCCGTGCTCCTCTCTAGTACTGTCTCTTTTGTGTTTGGTGGAAACAAGTCGGTTAGAGAACTCCAACAGGGCATTTTTATCTCTGAGATTCTCAGGTCTGTGCAGTCCCTAGACTTGATGTACTATCACATAGCTTCAGTTTGTAACAAGTGGAGATTTTCTAATTCCTAGAAATTTTTCTGCAGTATACCACTTATCACTTAACTGTCATGGATAAAGAAATGAAGCAACTCAGATGAAGTTAATTACTAGAACAGTATCTATCCAATAAGTCCAAGTATATAAAATGTAGTCTCAGGAATCACAATCACATTTTAATACACAGTAACTATAACAACAATAGGAGTTAGGTCTTTTCTCACCATACATGTTGTCATTATTTATTACTCACCTCATACTGAAAAAGTTAAATAATATAAAAAATTTTTCTGAAGCACAAGGAAGCAATTGAAAGCCATTTAGGAACCATTTTAAATGTAATGATGCCCATTCCAGAAATTCAGAGATATAAAAATAAATTCATTTTTCAGCTTAATGAAATAGAATAAGGTGTTAGGAGATATAAAGGGGTAACAAAGATTTTAATTAAAAATTTTAAATTTTAGCTTGAAGAAAATAACAACAAAAAACTTTAGCTTGGTGTAGCGGCACATGCCTATAATCCCTGCACTCAAGAGGCTGAGGCACAAGAATTGCAAGTTTGAGGCAAGCATAGCAAGTTCAAGACCAGCCTGGAATGCAAAGTGAGTCCTGTCTCAAAAAGCAGAAACAAACCAAAAAAATTTAAAGTTTTAAGTTTCACCCATTGTAGCTTCATGTAATTGAATCTACTCACCGCTTTCTCCTCTGGAGAAAGAGCACCCTCTATTGCCACTATCTGGTATTGCTTATGTTTTAGATTCCCCACGAATTTCCTAAGTTGCTTGAGACTACTCGCCTCAAGGTCTTGTTTTAACAGTTTCTGCACTTCTCGGGAAGGACATCCAGGATCAAATATTAGTAAACATAATGTTCTGTTTTTTCTCTCTTCAATTCCAACAACTGTTCGACTATGACCTGTCAAAATATGAAATAAAAGCTATCTGTAAACGCTTTCTACCCATAGACAGATACAGATAATCCTATATACACACAAATGTACATATATGTTCTTGTTCTCTATATGTGCACATTTGAAATATAAATATGGGCCGTCTTTGACATTTATGTACCTGAGATCTTTCCTGAAACACTAGTGATCAGTTTTACTTCTTACCCTTTCAGTATTACTTTGATTTTTAAAGGCTTTATTGCAAAAAAAAACCCAAAAACCTCTGCTTCTACTCTACCACATATTTTATTTTTACCAATCTCTTGATATCTTTTCCTTCTCCACTCTCTTACTCAAATTCTCTTATCTGAAGGGACCTGAAATTTACCTCTCCTAGAATGAAAACACTGATGGGTCCAGAAGGCCAAAAGATATTAGAATTCTATATGCTAGAGTATCAGGGCTTAATCTCCGGTTTGTATTCTTGAGCAACAATCACTTCCTCTTTGTTACTGTCAGTGAAAATCATCCACCCAACAAAATTTATCATGTGTCTCTATGCCAGCAGTAAGGTATACAGCAGCAAATAAACAGACCAACAAGCCAGCTTTCATGGAGCTTACATTTAAAGAGAAACAGACACTCCATAAAATAAGGTAAATGTGAAGGAAATGCCACTGGTGGGGTGTGGGGCTAATGATAACTTTTACATACGGTGAGGCAGGGGACAGCTTAAAGTGACATCTGGATAAAGACCTAAAGAAGGTAATGGATGAACAACTAAACAAGAATGAACCAGACAAAGAAAAGAGCATGTGCAAAAGCCCCCCAAAATGCCAGGAATACTATCCTTTATTACCCAAAAGATAGGCTAATGTCACAATACTCCCCCTCATCCCTATCATCAGAATCTTAACCCCGTACCCAGGAGTTATACTAACCTTGATGCTGGAGATAGATAGGAGGTTTGGATGTGCATACTACCTTTGCATTCCCTTCCTGCTCTGAAGAGTAATAGTTCAATATCCATTCAAATAAGCGAGGGTGTGTACCCGAAGGACCAGTTGCCTTGTGAAAATCAACAATACGGCACCTATAAAAAGTGGCAAAATGAATTAGGGTATTTTCAAAATATTTTCATTGATACAGCTAATCAAATATGAATAGAATTTTAACTCAGAACTAAATTTGGTTTTATCATGGCTTACTAGAATTTTAACTCAGAACTAAATTTGGTTTTATCAGTGGCATGTGTGGGAAACTCCAGAGACATGTAGGGAAACACAGGTGCGCAGAAATGGAGGAATGAAGGCAGCCAAAGGCTCTCACCGATGAAATCCAGTGTGGGGGTAGGTAGAAAGGGAAGCCGGGCTGCGCTTTGATCCCAGCACTGCTTACAGTCTGGCAAACATGAGCTCTTGGGAGAGGACCTAATCCCAACATCCAGTGCCATCCACCAAGGTTCTATTCATACCAGGAGAGGGAGAGGGTGAGTCAGATACTCACTGAGCAGGGTCCTAAAGAAACCGAAGGCCAGATACTCAAGGACTCAGGATTGGCAGGTTCTTGGTAAAGTAAACAAGGGCACGGTCCTGATGAGGAACCTGGAGCATGACCCTGACAGCTGTGGTTCAGTGACTTGCATGGCTAGGCACTGGCTGCAATCCGTGTGATCTGGGGGACACTTGCACACTGCCCCATCCTTCCCCTAAATACCAGCGAGGTGAAGATGAGTGGCCGTGGGATACCCTGCCCACCACCCTCCCCTCGACTCCCCACATGGGAATCCTGTCACCCACTGGCAGATGCTGCTGTGAGCTGCGAGCCCTAGGCACTACTGAGCTCAAGGGGTGCACACGGACACTGTGTAGTGTGCTCAGCAGATCTGGTACAGGTGGAGAACTGGAGAAGAGCAGCACGGCTAGAGGGAGGAGGCAGCTCCGCGGCCCGACACTAGAACAGTACAGAAAGAGCAGGCACAAGCAGCTGCGGGGCAAAAAGAGATGGAGAAGGCTTTGGAAATCAGCAGGAGACTGGGTGCGTAACCAGCCACACTGCACCCTCCCTACCTCAAGCAACTGAAGGTGTTTGATCCCCACAGAGGCAAAAACCTCCAGCAAGTCATGCCCACAGGAACACAACCAAAACCAAGCAGGGCAGAGCCTGCAGAGGGGAGGACACGGGCCCAATAGTTATCTAGGCACAAGTCAAAGCTTCTCCAACTGTGAGCGTGGTGGGGAGAGCACACTGGCTGAACTCTGAGCACTGTATAAAGGCAACTCAGAGGTCTCTTTTGTATTTTTGCATATGTGTGACTTTTTATTCTTTCTCTTATTTTTTTGTCTTTTTTCTCCTTTCATCTGGTATATGTGGGAGGTACTTGTATATATGAAGTGGAGAATAAAAATGAATTGGTACTTTAGTTTAGACAGTATTTTTCATGGACACGTTAGGCTAACCCTCACCAAAATTCATGTACAGAGCAGTGCTGATGAACCTACAGCACGCAGGCCATATCTGGCTGTTTATTATCATTTTGAGCTCCGAAAGGTTCACCATCAGTAGTATAGAGTGTTCAAACAAGCTTCCTAGGGCTAGGGATATAGCTCAGTGGCTCCTGGTTACACCCGCCAAAAGCTTCCTATCAGCCTATTAATTGATGCTGATCTCACAGCTTCCGTTAACCTCAAATTATACTTCTCTCCCTCTTTATCCCTTTTCCTACCCCAAATATTCTCTCAAACCTCCATTCCACCAGGTCTCCACTCATGTTTTGAAAATAATTATCAACAAGAGATGGGGGAGGAGATACAAAAAGAATAAAGATATGTTATGTATATGGAAAACTTCCCGTCATGTATATAATCATTATATACTGCAAACCTGTACTAATAAAAATTAAAAAAAAATTTTTTTCCCGGAACCGGGAATCGAACTCATGACCTCGAGCTTGCCAGGCAGGCACTGTGCTGCTGAGCTAAATCCCCAGCCCCAAAAATTAAAATTAAAAAAGGCAAAAAAGTTACTATCTCTCCTTTTTGCACTTAACTTTTTAATTTTTCTCCTTTACATCTTTCTAAACTTTTCTCTTTCTTTTTCTTTCCCTCACCCATAACATGCCAGCCTAATTTGTTTTCAGTAATATATCATGGTCTTTCTAGGTTATTGCAAAGGGTATGAACTAGTTAGAGCAAGTTTTAAATTATAAGACTGGATGAATGGTTGAATCTATGGATGCTGATATAAATGGTAGTGGTTAAAAGTTTAAAAATTCCAGGAATTCAGCAAAAAGAAAGAATATTAAAAGTTGCTAAAGAAAAACATGAAGTAACTTATAGGCAAGCTTGTCAAAGTAACAGCTGATTTTTCAACACAATGTTCAAAGACCAAGAGAGCTTGAAGCAAAGCTTCTCAAGCCCCAAAATAAAATAATTTCAACCAAGATTAATATAGCCAACAAAACTATCTTTCTAAACTGATGGAAGTAAAAAACATTACAAATGCACTTACAAAATGACCATGAAATCACCTTTGCAAAAAGTATTATAAGGAATTCTGGACAGACACAGAAGGCAATATCACAAGAGTCCTACAACAGAATATTTCTAAAAGTCATAATAGTTCAACAAAAGGGAAAAAACGAAGGAATCAGCAGCAATGGGAAAATAATGATAGCATTCAGTAAATAACTTTCAACAGCAATTCTCAAGGTAAATGGTCTTAATAATCCAATCAAAAGACACAGATTGACAGATGGGATCAAAGAACAAAACCCAGCTATGTATTGCCCAGAAGAGACACTTCATTTGTAAAGAAACCAAAACTGAAAGCAAAAGGATGGAAAATGATATACCATGCAAGTGTTGCCTAAAAACAAGTAGAAGTAGCTGTTTGCAAACAAGTGGACATCAAGCCAAAACTGAGCAAAAGAGACAAACAAGAATGTGAAAATAATGCAACAGGAGGAGATACTAATTGTTAATTATACATGTACCAAATGCCAGCCCACTCAACTCAATAAAGCAAATATTACAGCAGCAATACAATCAGAATGCAACAGAGTACAAATTTTTTCAGTAGCACACTTTGTCCAAAATAGACTATATCTTAGACCACAAAGTATGCACACAATAGAAAACAATAACCTCCTGCATACTACCAGATCATAATGTAATGAAACTAGACATCAAAGCAAAATAAGCCATAGAAACTATACAAACACATGAAGATTAAATAATACACTCTTTAATGGTCAATAGCCACAGAGGAGATTAGGAAGGAAAAGTTTCTAGAATCCACTGATATGGCAGCACAACATACCCAAATGTATGGAACACAATGAAAGGAGTTCTAAGAGTGAAATTACACCAGTGAATGGCCACATTAAAAAAAAATGGGCCATTCAAAGTAAACAGCCTACTGATACATCCAAGGTCCTAGAAAAATAAAACTATTCAAATCCAAAACTTGAAAGAAATTATAAAGAACAGAACAGAAATTAATGAAATTGACAATAAAAGAAAAATATAAGGGATCAATTAATCAGAGTTTGTTCTCTGAAGCTATAAAAAAGACTGATAAACCTTATGCTAACCCTACACAAAGATTCATATTAATGCACTTGGAGATAAAAAGAGGAAACACCAAGATATCACTGAAATCCAGAGGATTATAACAAACTATTTTGAAAACTAATATTCCAACAAATCAGAGAAACTATAAGAAATAAATTTCTAGACACATACGAATTATCATTTCTGAATGAAGAACATATAAATACGTTTAATAGACCAATACCAGGCAATCAAATAGAGGCAATAATGAAAACCATCAATTAAGAAAAACCCAATGGGTTCACTACTGAATTTTACCATAACTTCAGGAAAGAACTAATCCCAGCATTTCTCAAACTCATCCATTAAATTTAAAGGGAAGAAACACTACCAAAGTCATTCCTTCAATTTACCCTGATACCCAATCAGACAAGGACTCAAAAATAAAATAAAATAAAATAAACCACACACAACAGATCAGTTTTCTTAAAGAACACAGATGCAGAAATCCTCAATAAGATACTTGCAAAAGAACACAACAAATCATTAAAAACATGTACCATGACCAAGTCAGTTTAATCCCAAGGATGCATGAATAGTTCAATATACATAAATCAGGCCAGGCATGGTGGCATACACCTGTAATACCAGCACTTGGGAGGCTGACATAGGAGGATTGCCATGAGTTCGAGGCCAGCCTGGGCTACAAAGTGAGTTCAAGGCCAGCCTGGACTACAGAGTGAGACCCTATCTCAAAAAGACAAAAACCCCCCAGCAAACAAAAAAAGCCCATAAATCCATAAATGTAATGCACCACATAAGCAGAAGGATAAAAATCACATGGTCATCTCAACAGGCCCCAAAATCTTTGATAATATATAGCATCCATTCATGATTTTAAAAATTATGATGAAAACAGACATAAAAGGACCTTACCTCAAACTGATAAAAGCCATTTATGAAAAATCCACTGCCATAATCATACTAAGTTGGGAAAAACTGAAAGCCCTCCCTCTAAAATCTAGAAGACAAGGGTGCTCACTCTCACCACTCCTATTCAATACAGTACTCAAAATTTTACAGCAATCAGGACAAAGAAACAAACTGGATACAATCAGGAAAGGTAGATGTCAAACTTTCCTTATTTGCAGATGACATGATCTTTTATAAAGAAGACTCAAAAATCAACACACAAACATCAACAGCCTTCCTGTACAACAACATGGTCTCTTTAAAAAAAAAATTAAACACCTAGAAACTTACCTAACCATGAAAATGAAAGATCTCTATAATGAAAAGTATATTGTTCTGACAATAGCTATTGAAGAAGAAATCCTTTGTTCTTGGATAGACCATAATACTAACTAAAATTAATAGAAGGCTTAATATTACAGTTCCTATAAAAGACCCCAGATATAAACAATTTAAAGGGCAGAATAAAAGATGGTAGGAAATGGGGAGACAGACTCTGCAGATGGGAAGGGAATCAGGGGAAGTGCTGAGAGGGATGTGTGTCAGGAAAGGTAGTAAAAGTGATCAAGGTGAGATATACCAACTCCCCAAGGTAAGTAGTTATTACATATCACAAACATATACTAATACATTTCTTAAAAGGCAAATGAACCTCTCTCTCTCTCTCTCTCTCTCACACGTACACACACACACACACACACACACACACACACGAACTAAATTTACCCAGCCATTACTTCCCTAAGATGGAAGAACAAATATCAAACATCAACTTTACTATTAACCTGGAAAACTGTCATTTTTGTGAAAGAAATATTTATTTAAATAACTACAATGAAGTTCTGACCTAAAGGTTACAAATATTTTCTCACATATTAAAAGTTCTAGAATATTAAATGAGGATCAGGTTTGATTTTTAAGTCATCTATATATAATCTGAGCCACAGCTTTTACTCTAAAGTATCTAGCACTGATTGAGTTAGAAACTTCTGATTTTAATTCCCCAGTAGCCATTTGCATACGTCAAAAATAATCTGAACACTTTAAATTTTCTCAAATTCCAGTAACAGACAAGGGTACATGTAAAGATTAAGAAAATGTATATCTACGTCTATACAGATATCTATGTCCTCTTTGATACCAAACTATGGTAGTATGCTTTCTTCAAGAGGGAAATCACCTTTGAACAAATAATAATTTTTCAGCCAGACCCACATTGGTACTATTCAATAACTGTATTTTAAAAGTAAAGTATATATAAAATCATTTAGCACTTTTATCATTTTGTAGCACAGATGGTCTGTCCTTGTTTCTCTTGGCAGTAAAATATTCAAATGTCCAAATTACAAGGGTTGGTAACCTTAGTCTCACAAAATTTATTGCTTGTAGTTTGCAACCATTGATTACTGAGGTTTATGTGCTCAAATAAACAGCTGGACAAATTATTTTCAGGGAAGAACACTACTTTTGGGTTAGCAGTTTGATCGCATGTTTAGGGTTAGAATATTTAATAGAACCCTACAGAGTGTAATTCATACAGAAAACAAAAGGAAGACAGAAAGTAGCAAACACATTCAGGGTGTTACTAATAAAAAAGCAATACAAAACTATGGTACCAAGAAAGAAGCTGGAGGTATTAGAACTTTTAGAAGGAAATTTTTCTTTCCTTATGAATAACTTCAAAGAGCTTGGTGTAGTGATGTACACCTCTAATCCCAGCACTCAGGAGGCTGAGGAAGGAGCATTGCCATGAGTTCGAGACCAGCCTGAACTACGTAGTGACAGTGTCTCAAAAAAAAAAAAGTAACTTAAATATTTAAGTCATATAGTAAAAATGAAAAGGAAAGGCAATTATTAACTTGAGGATTTTTTTTTTTTGGTCTTTTTGAGACAGGGTTTCACTATGCAGTTCAGGCTGGCCTTCAATTCACTTTGTAGCCTAGGTTGGCCTTGAACTTGCGGCAATTCTCCTGCCTCAGCCTCCTGACTGCTGGGATTACATGTGTGCGCCACCATGCTTGGCCTACTTGAGGAATTTTTTTAAAAGCTTTTCATGAAAGGAAATAAAATCAGCAAAGAGTAATATTCACACAATCATAATGTGAACTCTCATTTTAATTTAGTAGATACTGACTTAATCATATTAGGTTGAGGGTTGAAGATTGAGGGTGAGGAGGTAGAAGACAAACAAAAGCAAGTGACAGTGTCTGAAACTGACAAACCAAGAAACGGCTTTAAAGCACATCATTTAAAAATAGAAGGCCAGGCGTGGTGTTGCACGCCTGTAATCCCAGCACTCAGGAGACTGAGGCAGGAGGATCCTTGCGAGTTTGAGACTAGTCTGGGCTACAAAGTGAGCTCAAGGCCAGCCTGAACTGCATAGCGAGACCCCATCTCAAAAAGACAAACAAACAAACAAATAAACAAAAAAAATCCCACAAAAAACAGAAATGACAGTTTGTCTTGAAAAATAGGACTTGGGAGCAAAGAGAGCATAAGACAGGGAATCATTGCTGGTTTCCATTACAAGCCCTTCAGGGCTAATTAAATTCATTTTTAACTATCTCTTTGATAAAAATAAAATTCAGAAAAATAAAACATCTCCCAGATATATCAATAACATTAACTGGAGATTTTCAGGTACATACTTGACCCTCAGGGAAGTCAGGAGGGTAAATACTTCACATGCTCCAATCCAGGCTTTTGTTCCCTGTAACCTGTTATTAAGTTGAGAGGCCCCCTGAGGGTCAAAACCTTCTTTCCATGCATCTTCAATCATAGACTGAATTTTTGGAATACAAGGAACTGACATACCTGAAATTATACAAGCAAAGAAATTACGTGACAGTTACTAAAGTACTCAATATTCAGTAGTTATTATCATATACTTTAGAGGAACCTATAATACAGTTTTTAAGATAGTTACTGCTGTCATCTGTTGTATCGTTTTTTCTCCCTCCAACCAGAATTCAAGTTTCATATATAAGAAATGTCTAAGCCAGGTGTAGTGGTGCAGCACTCAAGAGGGTGAGGCAGGATCATTGTGAGTTTGAGGCCAGCTTGGGCTACAAAGTGAGTATGAGGCCAGGCTGAACTCCATAGAGAGTCTGTCTCAAAAAGATAAAAAAGAAAAAAGAAAAAAAAAACAAACCCAGAAATTTCTATTAGCCACAGCACTTCTCTTAGCTATTAATTATGCATGGTATGTATTAATTCATCCCAAATCACATATATTATATCTATATTTCACGTACCTTTCAAGCAATCATCATAAGCCTCATTCTGTAATAATGATGAAAGTAGCATTTGGAAATTTCTGTAACCACAACCCCAACCTTTGTCACCTAGAGAGGAATGAAAGTGATCTACCACTGCAGAAAGCCACACACGCCTCACATCTGTGGCAGTACTCTGATAGTATCTATGAAGTGCTTCAATAATTCCTGAAGAGAGACAGATTTAGAAGACAGGAATATTTGTTATCACCATTATATGGCTGTCATACATTTTTTTATCTTCAAATTTTTCATTTGTACAAATCTGCTATACTGATTAAACTCACCAGAAGGAATTAACATGTACATACAACAAATCTGAATTCCACATCCCTTTCCCCTTTCCTCCCTCCATCTCTATATCCCCTTCCTATCTGCAAAATATTTCTCTCCGTGTTCCTATCATCTTTCATTTTGTTCTTTATATTATTTTATGTTCAGTTTCTTATATAAGAAAAATCATGCATCATTTAAGTCTGTGTGTCTGCTTTACTTCACTTAACACTATAGTCAAGATGGATCCACTTGCCTAGAAGTGACTGAAATTTATCCTTCTTGATGAATGACTTATGCATATACATATAATATATACCATATTTCAATATCTAGTCATCGATTGATATAGGCCACTTCCAAGATTTAGCTATTATAAGTTGTGCTCTATCAACATGAGACTGCACCTTATCACTGTAATATATTGTTTAATGGCCAATAAATATATGAAGAAGTGTTCAGCATCTTTGGCCACTAGAGAAATGCAAATTAAAACAACACTGAGATTCCATCTTATTCCCGAAAGAATGGCTATTATCAAGAAATCAAGTAATAACAGATGCTGGTAAGGTTGCAGGGACATCTACACTGGTGTCATACATTTCCAATACCAGCCTTGCACAAGTTCCAAAACTAAACCCCACACATTCTATCCTTTTCTTTACTATCCTACTGCTTACAACCTTAGTCATGCCCTTTTTTTGTTACAAATCCAAGTTTCCTAAACACTATCATACTATCCTTTACAGAGAACTGAAATTGTTTGCATCTTTTATCTCTGCTTCCATAGTACTAAGCATCTAAAACTGTAACTGTTGAATAAATGCTTTTGTCTCTCCGTTTTATTATACATACTGCTGAAGATCACTCAGTCCTACTTGCTACTAATCAAGACAAAAGCTCCTAATTACCTATAGAATTATGTTAATCTATGGTATATGACGCCTCCTGCAATGTATTCAATATTAATACAAAATGAAAGGAAATTATTTTTAAATCAATCATTTACTATAAAAAGAGAAGTCCAGAAATTTCCAGACAACTCAAACTATGTAAGTTTGGCTTGTAATACAATATTAAAATTATGATTCCAATGTTTAACACTCACCAGAAGTTTTTGTTTTTCCATCATCAATACCAACAGCTAGGGATTCCATAAGGTCAGCTTTTCTCCTGTGAAACTCAGTCGGGTGCATTCTTCCTCTATTTACTTCTATTTCCATATTTCGCAGTTGGTGTTGTTTATATCCTCCAGACCCATCTAAACCATATTGTTGCTATTAAACACGAAAGCAAATGACTTACTCTTTAAGTCCCTGTATGTCAATGCCATGGAAACCCAGAACAATTGTACTACTTAGAAAAGTCTATGGAAACGTTCTCGTTTACAGACATATTCAAGTCCAACTACATCATGCATGCACACATATATTTTTGATTTAATAGTTTACACCAGAGAGACGTCACAGAGGGCTAGAGACAGTAGCACTGAGGAGACTCACACCAAGATGCACAGATACTTGGGATGGTGAGGAACAAAAACTCAAACATGGAGAGGTATGAGAAGTCCACCAGACCAATTCCAGTGTGAGAGGTGCAGAGAAAGAAGCAGGGCTACCTCTCCCAGGGTTCAGGGAACAAGTGAAAAGCCATGTGGACAAGGCCTATGCCTCCATTGAGGGCTAGATCTTACACCCTTGAGGGCTAGGATTTATGCCACTGTGGGACAGGCCCTATGCTATCATGAGACAGAACCTAACCCCTGAGAGAACCAGCTGGACAACTACAGCCAAACTGCTACAAATGGTGCCAGTCCCAGCAGCCACACTGGGGGTCCGCCTGTCCCAAGTCTCACAGGGACACGGAGCCACAAGAGGGCCTCTTCAGGTCAGGGCACCAAGGGAGGCAAAGCACAGAAAAGCCCTGGAGGGTGAGGACTAGGTTCCGACAGAGCCCTAGACAGAGGAAGGAAGGTGGTCCAGAACCAGGGGTGGTCCAGGGGCCCTGAACCACACCAGAGGGACCTGTGGGACGTTAGTTGTACTGGCTGGGCAGGTCACCCTATCACCACCCCCACCATGTACTCAGGCTCTCAGGTCACCCTCCTGGTCCCTGGCAGAGTGGCCCCATTCCCAGCTGGCCAGGCCTTACACTCCCTCGCACTGTGGCTAGACGGAGAGGTGGGGTCAGAGGATCACACAGCAGGCACTGAGTGGAGTAAAGGAGCTGAAGTGAGCAGCTGCAGAGGTGACCTGGGGAAGGGGGCAAAGACTGCAAAGGCCTCCAGAGGCTGATGCTGTCCAATTGTAAAAAAGCAAAACCCCACACTGGTGACACCCACAAGAGCAGCTTTGGCTGCAGAGGCAACAAGCAGCCTCTGAGGTCCACTGGGACCCAGGGCCCTTCCCTTCCTGACAGGTACAGGACAAAGGGAAGCCAGCTCCAGCTATGGTGGGCACATCAACCTCCTAGCTACCACCAGAGAACTAGAGCCTAGTCCAACTGCCAGACCAGGCTTCTCCAGATGTGAACAGAGGGGATGGGCACTCTGTCCAGCTCTTGACTGCAGTGTTAACAGGACTGAATGGACTATGTGCTTTTGAGTTTTTGTACATATGTAGGTTTTTTCCTTTTACTTTTGTCCTTTCCATTGGTATATGTACAGGATGTGTTTTTGTATGCAAAATGGAAAATAAGAATTAATTTGTACTTCAACTTAGATGGCACCATTCATATGCACATCAGGGTAACCTTTATTAAGGTATGTATACGGGAGATTCACACACAACTGTTTTATTAGCATGTTCACTCTTTCTGGCCTTTTCACAGCTTCCCCCAATCTCCAGTTATACTTCCTTCCCTCTACATCCATAAATAACTTCTCAAGCCCCCGGCCCACCACCACCATTCAAAATATAAAAGTCACCAAATTCCTATCTCTTTTCCTGCTTCCATTTGCTGTTACCTGTTCTCTTTGGCCTTCTTTTTGAACTATTTTCTCTTCCTAATTCCTTCAGTCATACTCATACTGTACATCCCAGTCTACCTGTCATCAGTACTATCTCACTGTTTATTGACAAAGGAACTTGTAAAAATAGGATTTAAATTATATGATTGCTATATGACTGGTTCTGTAGATGCTGATATAACTGACTGTTGTCTCCTTGGAAAATAGTGATCAGGACTGATCCTCTGACACTGAGTTGACTGAATAGGTGCACAAACACAAAAACGTGAGCCAGGTCAGGTCACACCAACTCAAGGTCACTCTCCCTAACCTCAGCACCAAAACAAGAGAAACATAAGAAAACAAGGCAGCAAAATACCTTTAAAAGTTCAACTCATAGGCACTAAGTGGAGGAAGTTTCACTCAAAATTGAAGAAGTCAAAAACCAAAAGCTTTAAATGTTTAAAGAAAACTAAGAAGAAATTAGCTCAGCCACAATCAACTCTACACACATCAAGCCTTCCAAGTGAACAAGCAGCCTCTGAACTGGTGAGACTGTGTGGCCTGACCGCAGGAGGCTAACAGGTGTACAGCTGCTGTTTCCTCAGAGCTGGTCACAGCAGAGAGAAAGCCATGATGCTGGACTTGTATTCTGCATTCAATCATGGAAAAAGCAGCATCTGATATCATTGTCCACTGCACTGAAATAAAGTTGAGGGTCACTGTTCAGGAAGCTCACAACTTATATATTTGGTTCCAGAATTCAGTCTACATATTTTTCCGCTCTACCGAGTTTTAAAATGCATATGTAGCCGGGCACGGTGACACACGCCTGTGATCCAAGCACTGGGGAGACTGAGGCAGGAGAATCGTGAGTTCAAGGCCAGCTTGGGCTACAAAGTGAGTTGAAGACCAGCCCAAACTGCACAGTGAGACCCTGCCTCAAAAAAAAAAGCATATGTATGCACTGGGTATATATGGGATATCTCTGTAACTTCCTCTCAATTTTGCTGTGAATCTGAAAGTACTTTAAGAAAAGAAATCTTTAATGATGATTTTTAAAAACCAATGAAAACACAAAGCAAAAGAAAGCAAAAATCAGCATGGTACTTGCACAAAACAGACATGCTGTTTGATGGAATAGAAGTGAAATGCAAAAACAACTTCATGTGCCTTTAGCCCTCTGAGTTTGGGAAAATGGGCCGAAAACATATGACTAAAAAAGATAGCCTCTTTAACAATGATGCTGAGAAAAATAGTTATCTACATACAGAAGAACGAATCTAGATCCTTACTTGTTACCCTGTAGTAAAATCAAATAAAAAACAGATCGGAAACCTAGATACAGTAAGTCCCTGACTTAGAGACATTTAAGTTATGAACTCTCACAGATGTACTGTGTAAGATTCCCTTTGAACCAATCTGACTTATGAACATTCTCCAGAGCGGAATTTGTTTGTAAGTTGGGGACCTACGATGGAAATGGAAAAACAAATCTGCTGTAAGATAAAATGGGTAAAACTCTTAAAGACACGGGCACAGGCAAGGACTTTGCAAGCAAAATACCAATTACACAAGAAATGATATGAAGAACCAACAAATGAGATTATGTTAACTTAAAAAGGTTCTGCATAGCAAAGGAAGCAACCAACAGCACAAAGAAATAACTTACAGAATTTAAAATTCAGGAAACATTAATAAATTTCTCTTCTCAGTATCTGTATAAACTAGGGCTCAGTCTCTTAATATGCCCCATCAACTTACATAGGTTTTAAACTAACCTTTACCACCTAGTAACTGTCTAACTTGGGCAAATTACTCAACTTCTCTGTTTCTATTTCTTCATCTAAAGTGGAGGGGAATACTCTTCCTGGATTTGTTGTGAAGATTCTGAGATATTATACTATACTCCAGTATCTCACCACAATGAGTACTTATACATTATGGCTATGAATGGTAAGACACACACACACACAAATACTTTCAAATAAAAATAATACCTTAAAGTCTCAAAAGCATATTTGAGAAATAAAAACTCTAATTCTAATTGAAAATATTATAATTGTGTCTTCTTTTTTTCCCCCCCCCGGTACCAGAAATCAAACTCATGACCTCACGCTTGCCAGGCAGGCACTATGCCGCTGAGCTAAATCCCCAGCCCCTATACTTGTAACTAATCTCAGTACCTGCAGCTGCTGGAATTCCTGCATTTCTTGTCTTGATTCCTCAGATTGCTTCCGATCTTCTTCCTGCTGAAGCTGGTGAGCCAATTCTAGATCAGCAGAACACTGAATTCTATCCATGCCTATTGAACATTTTTAATATTCAGAAAAAAAAACTGGTATCATTAAAGCCTATCAATTAATACATATCTTAAAAGAGAATAAGGGCCATTATTTGTCACTTATTTATGGTTGTGATGTCATAGAACCATGGAGTATCAATGTGGCAGAGCTCAGAACTGCTTCTGCTAAGGGAATAACCTCCATTTAAACAACAAATACAGACATTCCTCATTTAACAAATAAGTTATGGTTCCGTTACTGAATTGGCTGCTAAGTGACAAACTGTATATAGTATATATGATCAAGGGAAACTTCAACTTGATGAGTTTGCTTTTATTTGTCAAACTTTTACATGCAGTAGTGTAATGTGTAACAGAACATATAACTACACTACTGTACTGTTTAGTACAATCAGCAAAATATACCAAAGAGGGATAAAGAAAATAATAATAGAGAAATACACATTTGCAAAGTACAAGTATTAATAATTTCCTTACAATTTGGCCCCAAACTGTATGACTTTGCATTATCTTGGCCTGTATTCTTTGAATCCCTCAGATCCACTGGTCAGCACCTTCTGTTTAGTTCCTTATCTCTTGACCCATGTTATGGTTCAGGAAAGAAAAGAACAAACAGATAAAGAGACAAAAATGTATGTGCACATGAGAGGCCTGAACAGGGGACTGGCTCACACAATCAAGACAGCATGCAAGAGAAATCAGTAGCATGGGTCAGTCCAAGAAGCCAGAATAGAGAGAGGCCAAGGATGCACACCTCAGTGGAAGAGCCCCAAAGAGCCAGTGGTGTAAATCCCAGAGTCCAAAGGCCAAATAAGCTGGAGTCTGATATCCAAAGTCATCAGAAAAGCCCCCCACCCACTGCAGAAGCCATGAGCTAGAGTGAGCCCCTTCTCCAGCTTCCAAGGTCCATGTAGCCCCAGTTGGACTGTGACTGCCCACACCATAGGTGAATTATTCCCACTCAGTTTGCTGACACACAGGCCAGCCTCCTCTGGAAACAACGTCACAGACATGCCCAAAAACAATGCCTCACCAGTTCTGAGGCATTCCTTAATCCAAATGAGTGACAGTCCCCCAAACTGATGGTCTAATGGCTTTTTTTCTTTTTAAATCTCTCAGCTGTTCCTCTATCTTCCTATTTGGTCATCCCTTCTATTCTTTGGATATGCAATTCATAATTGATTTTCAGTGTACAATAAGCCTATCTGTAATGATCTGTTCAGACCATACCCTTCTCTCATTAGCAATTACAGGCTTACACAAGAACATATACACCCATAGAGAGCTCATAATAAGCAGAGTAGGAATTAGCAGACATTCAACCTCAACAAGGCTGTCCTTGTACAGTATTCCCTTACAATCATGTCCAAAGGAGAAAAGCATATCAACTGGAATGAGCAATAGAGTAGTACCAAGGAGAGGACAATTCCACCTTTGCTTCAGTAATTCGATTTTAGGATTAGGCTGAGTCAGCAGGTAATACTGGGCTTGGAGATCACTGACACTCACACTACGATTACTAATACTGAACACTAAAGGCCCCTGCATTACTATGAGTTACCCTTAAAAACTGACATACAGTAGAATGAAATTGTTTCCTCTTGGGATCTACTTTGTATTCTTTTTCAGTGGTTTGTCAAACTCACATAGGATTGTTCCACTTCTAAAGTACCATGACTACTTAATTCCATTAGGAAAAATGGAGAACTTTTAGTCATTATTAAACCAGTAAGTAGTTTAAGAAGTTGGGGGAAACAACCAGAAATGCATTGAGATGTTCAAGTTATAGAGTTTACACAGATCTTTAAAATTATATTGTCCATGTGGCAGCTTCTTAGTGTAACAGTTTTTGATGGTCAAATGCTAACCTCAGTTATTTCCAGCAGATAAAAGAAATGGGCATCAATTTGTAAATAAAACCTTTTTAAAATGGCATAAAATTTTGAAATCATTATCTTAAATGTTAGTACTTTCTGAATGTTGTTTCTCTGGAGCAAAATCGAGGATGCACATAGACTTTACTTGGGTATTTAACCCCATTGTTATCCAACTGTTTTGTGGAACAACTTCTAAAGAAAAGGTTGCAGCTAGCTAATAATTATTTGAAGAAACAGGTGTATTTTTAAATGGTATGGGTTTTTTTTTTTTGGCCTCTACATAACTAACCTAAAGTATAGAAAGGGTAAAAATTAAATCAAGGTTTTTTCTTTACAAATATAACCTTACCTTGTTGAAAGCTCCTTTCTTCTAAATGCAAGTCAACATGTTCCTGGAGAATATGGTAGTTTGTACAGACGAGCCCACACATAGGGCAGTCATACAATGCTTGATCACAGTCTGTATCAGAGACATAAGTACTAGTAAGCTGATTTTTCAACTTTATATTTTTACCACATGCCAAACACTATATACCACCTACTAATTTTATCATACAGATTAAAGGTCTCTCTGTGTAGGTAGATTTAAATATGTTAAAGGCTATCTACTACCTACTAACCTTATGTAAATAAAAGCTCTTTGTAGTTGAATTTAAAAGCTATTTTTCTACTTGTAGGGTCAGACAGAAGACTAGGCACAGTTACAAACCTCTCTTAGCATTGCAAAAACAAAGTAATACTAAACATTCAGATCTGTAGTCAAAATTTAAGAAGATGAAAAGAAAACCAATACGAAGAATAGGAGGCCACATGGATACCGATTTGGGGCAAATTCTCAGTATCCACCAAACAAACTGGAGAAATGCTAAACTCAAATGCTCAGCACAAAGCTGGGAATGGGGATGATGCCTCCCACTGGGGAGCAGATTAGAGACGGAGCCATCAGACAACACTGCAGGCAGATGGGGCCAGTTTATCCCAAACACGAGTGGAGCCTCTAGAAGATTAGACCCCAGAGGACACTGGGCACAGAAACAGAGCCTAGAGCTGCTATATGGGGTGAAAGCACTTAGCAATCCACACAGGGAAGTCCTGGTTTGGAAGTGGAGATGTGAAATGCTACAGTGAAGGAACTATAAAGCTGCCTCACTGTGAGGGGAATATGAAAGAAAAACCTTTCAGATGAATACTAAAATGCACATTATGAAACACACTAAGAAGCTTGGTATGGTGGCACACACCTCTAATTCTAGCACTCAGGGGGCTTAGGCAGGAGGATTGAGGCCAGCCAGGGCTACACAGTGATTTCGAGACCAGTTGGAAGCGCAAAGCAAGACCCTGTCTGAAAAACAAACAATACAATTCCCAGTACCAAAAAAAAAAAAACCAAAAAAAAGGAAAAGAAAAAAACAAACCCACCCACTAAGAGATCCAGTGCGAAGAAAAACAGTTTAGAAATCCAGAAACTGAAGAAGCCACCTGTAAATAAATGGAGCCAGTAGTAACCTACAAAGGACTGTAAAATAAGTATGTTTAAAATAAATGGGGGCTGGGGATTTAGCTCTGCGGTACAGCGCCTGCCCAGCAAGTACAAGGTTGTGAGTTCAATCCCTGGTACTGGGGAAAAAAAAACAAAAAAAAAACAACAACAAAAAAGAGAGGCATGCATTTGCCTGGCATGGTGGCGCACGCCTGTAATCCCAGCACTTGGGAGGCTGAGGCAGGAGGATCGCTGTGAGTTCGAGGCCAGCCTGGGCTACAAAGTGAGCTCAAGGCCAGCCTGAACTGCATAGCGAGACTCTGTCTCAAAAAAAAAGACAACAACAAAAAAATAAATAAAAAAAAAATAAATGAGACTGGGGAGCTGAGCACCACAGCATATGTCTGCAATCCCAGGCACTCAGATGGCTGAGACAGGAGGATCACAAGTTCAAGCCCACCTGAGAAACTCAGTAAGACCTTGTCCAAAAAAAAAAAAGAAAGAAATAAAGAAAGAGAGACAGAGAGAGAGTTGAGCACACAGCTCAGTGGAGGTCTACCTCTACGCTGAATCCCCATTACAGAAAAAAAAAAGTACTGAATCAATGAAATAAAAAGGGAAGTGAATCTTTGGAAGTATCCCCAAAGCACCCATAAGACATAAAGGTCTATGGCTTCCATGCATTATGTGATAGGATGGGAGAGCAGTCTTCAGGTCAGTTCTCTACCATAAAATGCCTAGAGCCTATGCCCAGAGGCTTTTGGTCATTCCCTTGATGCCTTGGTGATCACATTCTGCTTTTGCTACCACTGTACTTTATAGCACCCCATAGCACTGCACACTTCCTAACCATCAGAAGTCTAAGCCTCGTAGGTCTGCTGCCACCATCCAAAGCAGTCATCAAAGACCACAGAGCTGCCACCACTGTTCTAAGAATGAAGACATTCTAACTGGCCAGCAGCTTTCCTAACAATCTAACTATTTGTATGTCTACTAATTTGACCCAAGCTTCATCCCTTACTTCCTGAAGAACTCTGAACAGCCTCCACAAATCAGTCTATCATTGGTCAGCTTTTCTTCTGCTTTTTTTTTTTAATCTTTTTGAGACAGGGTCTCGCTGTGCAGTTCAGGCTGGCCTTGAGCTCTCTTTGTAGCTCAGGCTGGTCTCGAACTCACAACGATCCTGTCTCAGCCTCTCGAGTGCTTGGATTACAGGCATGCGCCACCATGCCCAGCTAATCAGCTTTTCTATAACCACAAATTTTCTCAAAATATTCACTTTTCCTTGTTGCATTTACTGAAACCTAGTCAGCCTACTTAATACAGTCAGTCTAGCTCCTTAACACAGAAGCAATTTTTCTTTCATAATTTAGTGCTCCAGAAGTAGATATTATACTCCTTTTGCTTCTTTTCATCACTTCAAACCACATTTCTTCCTCAAAAGCTCTACCTTTTCACTAATTCATGTTATTAAAATATGGTATCTCATATTCCTTTTTGTGGCTAGTATTTTCTGAAATCCTAGATACTTTTTTCATCTACTCAAGGTTTCAGTGGTCGGATCAAAATGTTTTCCTAACCCTTACAGTGTCATGTTTTGTTTGACTTTTATTTATTTATTTATTTTGTTGTTGTTGTTGTTGTTGTCATTTATTTGTTTGCTTTTGAGACAAGGTCTTACATTCAGGCTGGCCTTGAATTCATTATGTAGTTTAGGCTGGCTCTGAATTTGCAGCTGTCCTCTTGCCTTGGGCTCCTGAGTGCTGGAATTACAGGCATGTGCCCCCACACTCAGCTGCACTGTCATCATTCTCAGCAACGTCAATAACCACAGAGGTAACTCCTTCACTTCACTTCCAACAATCTTCACCTTCACCCTAACTTATTCACAGAATAACCCTAACCCTTGAGTTTGTCATCAAACATCCCTCCTTTAAACTACCTGACCCTCTACCTCACATCTTCATTATGCTACTGTAAAGTCTTTGGGCTAATTAACACCTGTCAGGTATAATACATGTAGGTCCTGTACTTCTGTATTATTACCTTCCTCATGTTTTTCACTTTCCAGACTAGAAGCCATGCATGCTCCATATGATAATTATTCCCTTAAAATAGCTGCACACTTCCTTGCTCCATTTACTGTTCCCAAATGCTAGTGAAACCCAGCTACTGATTCTACACCTGATAACCAGGGTTTTTTCACTCAGCATTGAGACACACAAGGAAGCTGCACTTGGCACTAGTTTGCTGAGAATCTCAGAGACAGTAGTGAGCCAGCAGAGTAGTGTCGGGCATTGCACTCAGTGAGGGATGCCTAGCAGTTCACAGAACTGTTAACAGTTGCAGATAATAAAATCATCTAGAGCACTGACAGCAATCAATGGACAGAGACAGTTTACAATGCACTCTATAAACTCAAACAGTATACAATGTACTCTATAAAGTCAATTAGAGAAGAGACATTTTCCATTATACAAAATCAATAGAAATTCTACACTACAAAGAAATAAAGCTCACACACATTGCAGTGAAAGGAAAGATTATGAAGATATAAAAGATAAAAAGATAGTGTGGAGATATTCTAATTTAAATAAATACTTGAACAGAATTCTATGGAACTTAAGCCGGGCATGGTGACACACCCCTGTAATCCCAGCACTCAGGAGGCTGAGGCAGGAGGATAGTTCCGAATTTGAGACCAGCCGCTGCAAAGTGAGCTCAAGGCCAGCCTGAACTGCATAGCAAGACCCTATCCGAAAAAAAGACAGAACAAAAAATAATAATAATTTTATGGAACTTGACAAAATGGCTGAAGCAAGACGCGTGGAGTGAGGGGCAATATTTTTAGAATTAATAGCAATATATTATTTATTGTTTAAATATTTTAAAGTTTAAATTCACCATAGTTTTTGATCATATCTCATATGTAGAACACTTTACCCATCAAAACAGGATACTTTTTGTTTTTAAGCTCTTGTGAACTATGCACCAAGATAGACCCACATCTTGAGCCATAAAACAAGCCTCAACAAAGTCAAAGAATTGGCTATCAAAGTGTAGTCCCTGATCATAATGAAGTCAAACTAAAGTTCAGTAATCTAAAGTTAAGAATCCAGGACAGTGCAGATGATACTGAGCTTGTGGAAGCAAAATAATTCCATTTCCTCTTGAAATTGGACAGAAAATACTCTTAACATACCTGAAACATTCAAATCTGCATTAGAATTCTTTTTCATAGTTTTATATTACAATTATGGCAAATGAACATTACAGATATAAATTGGACTTAAAAACACTGATTTATAAATCAACTTTTAGAACACTTTGTGTTAAACTGAGACTGTTATAATAATTTATAATATAATGAACACTTTACCTTCTAATGGTGGGTCTAAAAGACTGACATGCTTTGTTTTCACATGATTTTCCATATCTTGACTACATTCTTCTATCTTTCCACAGAATGGACATTCAGGAGGACTATACATTGTGTCATAAATTGATTCTTTTGTTTCAAATAAGTCAGACTGGTTTTCCCTACTTTTCAGGAATTTTCTAGGTCCAGTTAAGTTCTCTGAATAAAAGACTTCATGTTTTAAAGTACCATCTGTAGGAAGGCTTTGAGCTGAACATTTTGGATGACTAGATGCACAAGCTTCCATCGTAGTCTGCAGAGTGCTGTCCTTGTTATCTGAAGTTCCATACTGCATTGGGTTCACCCTCTCAAAGTTTCTTTCTAGAGTATTCTGCTCAAAATGAGCAGTTTCAATGTGAAAGCACATTTCATCATAATTGACACCTGACAACTTGCAAAATGGACATACAACTTCATTTTCCATGTGAACAATTAAGAGGTGAGTCTTCATATCCGATTCTGAGGTTACCATTTCACCACAAATATCACAGGGAAGCATGGTAAGATTGGTAGCTAGAAAAGAACACAAATTTTTCTTAAGGTTCAAAGTGAGAGTTAAACTAAAATACATTTCAGACAATCTAGGAGAATTTCTTGGTATTTAGGGCTGTGGTATTATTTTTTAAGGGCTGTATTACTTTGATCAGGAAACTTTAATGTACTTAAAAAGAGGAAATTTTTAATGTAGTTAGTATTCCTCAAATATACAAACTTGTGTATAAATCTTTTCTTTTTAATTAAGTTTAGGATTGGGGATACGGCTCAGGGGCATAAGCGCTTGCCTTGCAAGCCAAAGCTCCCAAGTTTGATTCCCAGTCAAAAAAAAAAAAAAAAACGGTTAAATTATGTTTATTGGTACAATTTAGATGTATATATTGATCACATTCATTCTAGGAAATTTGTACCTGTACATGACATATCTTGATTCATCTTTTTTTCCCCATTCCCCTCCTTTCAACCCCCTTTCCCCTCATCATTTACAAACCTTTGTTTCCATTTTATCCTTCTTTTTCAGCTTTTTTCTTTTCCCTTTCTTCCTTTCCCCTCCCCTACAGGATGAAGACTCCTAACCTGAAAATCTAAAGTCCAAACTGCTCCAAAATCTGAAATTTTCAGAGTGCTGACATGATGCCAAAAGTGTAAATTCCACACCTAACCTCATGTGACAGGTGGCAGTCAAAACCAGGCACACTGAAAGGCTGTATAAATTTACCTTCAGGCTATGTGTATCAACTGTAAATGAAACAAATGAATTTCATGTTTATGCTTGGGTCCCATCCTCATGGTATCTCATTCCGCATGTGCAAATACTCCAAAATCTGAAAAAAATCTGAAACACTTCAGTCTCAAACACGTCAAATACAGGACACTTCATCTGCACTGTATTTCAAGTTTTTATTTTAAGAAGTCAAAAGTAATAATGAGAGCAAATAATTCCAAAAATGTCATATTTCAAAAAGTGTACCTGGTCTGAGATATAGAAAACAATTATGTTTAAAAAACTGTCAAGGTAAAAAAATAAGTCTGAGAAAAGAAAAGCAGAAGAAACCTATAGACTAATTTATTAAAATACAGAACTTTACAGTTGATTATAATGGGAACCGTAAGTAAACACATCTTAATAACATTTAAATGATTTGACATATATCAAATTCACTTAAGTAGTATTGTTATCATCTTATACGTTCGGAAACTCTGGCTCCAACAGATTACTACGGGCAAAAAAATAGTGGAAGACAAAAGGCTGACCCAATCATGGGTCACAGCCAGTATTCTCAACCCAAAGGATTTCCTCCTACAGGACTGACTGACATTCATTCGCAGGATTCATCGTGATAGGCAAGACACAGTATCTGACGTTGTTCTATGAAGTGAGTTGTACTAAATCAGTCACTTTTACATAAAGTACCAACTATCTAAAGGTGTTAAGAAATAATCTGAAAGCAATCACGACCAGCACTCTCCTATTCGATCATAATTCAGCTAAGTACTGTAACAAGCAGGAAAAAGAAAAATAAGGACGTTATGCACTTCATAGAATTTAGGTTCATAAGACCTCCCTAAGTTACCATCGTCTTCCTCTTTTCTCTCCAGACAAGCGAGAACAATGTCTGATTTTAGAAGGATGCTCTGTACCGCAAAGGACGAAGAGCCCAAGGTCCGCCTCCGGGAGCCAGGACGCGCCCACGCACCGCGCGCTCGCGGGCAGATGACCAGCGCGGTCCGGTTCGGCGCGGAGGCGCGGGCCACGCCGGCCCCGGAGGGAGGGAGGGAGGGAAGACCCCGGCCCCGCAGGGAGGGAGGACGCCGGCCGCGGAGGGAGGGAGGGAGGGAGGACTCCGGCCACGCAGGGAGGGAGGGAGAGAGGACCCCGGCCCCGCAGGGAGGGAGGGAGAGAGGACTCCGGCCCCGCAGGGAGGGAGGGAGGGAGGACTCCGGCCCCGCAGAGAGGGAGGACTCCGGCCCCGCAGGGAGGGAGGGAGGGAGGACGCCGGCCCCGCAGGGAGGGAGGGAGGACGCCGGCCCCGCAGGGAGGGAGGGAGCGAGGGAGGACCCCGGCCCCGCAGGGAGGGAGGACGCCGGCCCCGGAGGGAGGGAGGGAGGACGCCGGCCCCGGAGGGAGGGAGGGAGGGAGGGAGGACGCCGGCCCCGCAGGGAGGGAGGGAGGGAGGGAGGACGCCGGCCCGGAGGCGCCCGCCCGGCTGGGAACGCGGTGCGGGAGGCGGTCCGGCCCGAGCGAGCGCAGGTCCGAGTCACGGCCAGAGCCGGCGCACAGCAGCCCGACGCGGAGTCCACCCTGGGTGCCGGGAGAGGAGGACCGGCCTCGGGAGCCCTTACCGGCCGAGAGCCGGCCGCCGCCAGCCCGGCTTCCTCCTTCCGCTCGGCTCCTCCGCCCGAGAGCCGGGCGTCCCGCAGGCCAGCACTGTGCGGGGCGGAGCGTCTCTCCCCGCCGGGAAGGCTACAGCCGGGCTCGCCACCTATCGCAGCGGCACAGTGCACCCAGAAAAGCCGCGGAGACGCCAAGGACCGCCCCCGTCCCGGCAGCAGGTCCACAGCCGCGCGCCCGGAAGAGGCGCGGTCCCGGCGGCGCGCTCGCCCGCCTTCCGTTAGGGCGTTCTGGGACGCGCAGCCGCGGGCGTGGTGCACTGTGGGAGCCGCAGTCTCGGTTGCGGTGGTTCGGGGAGTCAGTTCCCTTTGTAGAGCTTCCTGAGGGTTGCTGTCCCTCGGGGAACTGCAGTCCTAGTTGTGCGTCCTCCTGGAGGTCATGTCCCAGGTGTGCTTCCCGGGAGTGGAGTCCTGGTTGTCGTGCGTTGTGGGAGTCACGGGTCGTTCGCCATCCTAGGAATCGCAGTCCCAGCTGCAGTACCTTCTGAGATTCACCGGTGCGGTTTTAGTGTGTTGCAGTTGCAGTCTCAATTGCTGTGTATTCTGCGGTCCTAGCCCCTCCTCATTCCAGCTGTTTGCATTTTTTCCATTCTTTCATCAGAGTTTTGACTGGATTTGCTGCCAGAAAAAGTAGGTCTAACGTTTTAAGACTCGATCTGAGTAGATTTATACGTCCTGGCGATATAGGAGACAGTATAACTTCCCACCCACTAGATGTCAGATACACTGAGTAGAAGCGTTACTTCTCCTGAACAATGGAGTTTAAGAGTAAGAAAGATGTGTTGAGAGATAGCATCTGAGAGGCAGGAGGGAACCTCAAAGTGGGCTGCCATGAGGGCCACTTCTCTAAAAATGTTTTATAGAGCAAAATCGTGAAGTCGGTACAAAACCACAAGGTGAGTGTAACGGGAGTTAGGGTTCGGGTTCGGGTTCGGGGTTCGGGTTCGGGTTCGGGTTAGTTAGGGTTCGGGTTCAGGTTCGGGGTTCGGGTTAGAGGGTTAGAGGGTTAGGATTAGGGTCAGGGTTAGGGTCAGGGTCAGGGTCAGGGTTAGAGGGTTTGGATTAGGGGTTAGGGGTTAGGGGTTAGGGTCAGGGTCAGGGTCAGGGTCAGTTAGGGTCAGGGTCAGTTAGGGTCAGGGTCAGGGGTCGGGGTCGGGGTCGGGGTCGGGGTTAGGGGTCAGGGTCAGGGTCAGGGTCAGGGTCAGGGTCAGGGTCAGGGTTAGGGGT